CGCCGGTGTAATATCCCACCGCTTATTAGTAACCGAGTGCACTGTAAAATACTTCACTGTGTACTATCAAATGGCTGTATAACATGACTATTAAAATTCAAGGCTATTAAAAGGCTTCAAGTGCTTGAGCACCCTCACCTTCATCTTGCAACCATGATTTTACCAACATAGAGTTCAGGTGTGCCTTGTTGGGAAAAAACAGTACATTGGTTGATGAGACTTTAAACCTCCACTGACTAAAATATCTAGGATATTTGTTATCCATTCCTAGTCATTGTCTACTCTCTCACACAATGCTAATCTGAGTGGATTTAATCTAGAAAAAAGATTGAAGGCATCCATCGTTAAACTTGGCATCATTCCACGAAGTCTCTGAGTTTTGATCTTAGCCATGTAGAGAAATGCACACCCCTAAATTTAGGTCTGAGTGAAGACCAATACTGGTGGTTTGAAACTCGAGGTGATAAAGCCTACAATCAATCTCAGTAAGGTAGACACATCCAAACATTATCTCCATTCTATCCATCTTATTACACTTTCTTACTTTCTTACCCTTTATTCCTCTCTTACTGTGACTTTCTATCAGTTTTGATAACATTTTTCTCCTTATTTCTCTAATTTTCACTCACCCACCTTGTATCTTGATGTACTGATATGAGATGTGGGAACTTCGACTGTTCATACTAACTGACTGATAACTTGGTGAAACAAATAAAAGGTTTTCACTGTCTTCAATATGTTGTTGATATTGAAGACAACAATATTGAACCCTAACAACTGTTATCTCTCAATAGCCTAACTAATATCCTTACACAAGAATTAAACTTAGGGTTTGTCGAGGACTATCAATTCCAAGTTGATATTCATCTTCATGATGAGTTTTCCTGAAGTTCTGATGAGAATACTTGACCAGTGGGACAGACCAAGTCGAACTTGAAGACAGGAAATCTATGACAACACTGGATCAAAGTGGCGTTGTATTGAGGAATTGACAGAGGTTGGAAAATGTGGACCAGTGGATCCTGACCCAGTGTCCTATTCAGCTGTCTAGTACTTAGTACTTAGCAGTGATCGAACTTTATTCACCAAGTTTTGCAATGTAGTCACGAAGCGAAGTAAGCCAACACTGTGATGCATTGTATGTCGGTGTGAGGTGGTGACACTCAATCAATAGGCTGACCTGTAGTTGAGTAGAAGGCTAAGTAATTTATAAGCACCCACTTGGCGGTAACAACCTTCCGTTGGAACCTACACCTCATAGGTCATAATATGTGATTCTTCTAATGTTAAATCATCAAGGAAATTAACGAAATATATTTGCAAAAGGAATGTCAATATAAGTTTGCCTAAGTCAAACAACAAAATTGACCAACTAGATAAGTGGTATCCATTTTTTGATGTGGCCTAATCATTTAGATGACTCAGCTGACTTTTCTGAGATACATTGGTGGTAGTATCTAGAATCTGTGGAACAATCTACTAACCATTCACAAGTCAACACTTTGTTTGTCGTATCACTGACATCTTTTAACCTCTATGATTGATGCCCATCTAACCATTAAGTTTATGAGTAAGCTGTTTGTACTGTAGCCTCTTTCATTTTCCTCTGCTGTACACACTAAAGAGTATTGAGTTCCTCAATAATGACTACTTAAAAGAGAGTAAACGAGTATTATTGAAGGTTGACGTTCAGTTGGACAAAAATCTTCTGCATCCATCTAATTGTGTCGATTGATTTCCTGAACGGTTTCACTCATCACCTGTGTTATCAACCAAGACAGTAAACGATGGGAACTTCTTTCTATAGGAGAATAAAATTCCCTCAAGGCTAAAAAGTATTTACTCAGGAAATTCAGTGACCATAAAACTTCAATCCATAGATGTTTTTCAGGACAGAAGAATAAATTCACTGAACAATAGAATTTCTCTTTGTAATAGACTGACAGGTTAACTGTTATAAAAGACTTAGGTGTAGTATGCAGGACACGCGTTCCGTCTTATTTAGGACTCGTCAGCTGAATGTACCTGCATCCCAGTCAGTCATATTCCCGTTGACATTTAACTCTCGTACACATTACTTTAAACAATAAAGCGTATTCCACTAGGCCACTGACATACGATAGCCACCCTCGTACAACGGATATTAATTATCACTGTTTGCTAATACTTGTAATTCCCTGTTGTTATACTGGACCAAACTGATCGACTTCTGTCAGCATATGGACTGTTATGTTTCTATTGTAGCAATAAATGTTCAGACGATGTTGAGATATTCACAAAGGAGTCCATATGATAACAAAGATCTCTCACTTCAATCCAGTATAATAAAGCAGAATTATAAATATCTGTTATGATTTCGAACGCGCTTAGCTGACAGCTAACTTGATACACAAGAGACACTGACTGCAACCCCGACACGAATAGAGAGAAGACCGACGCTGGCAGATGGGAGAGTCTATTGCTCCGAGAATATAATAACAATGTTTTATACAAGACTGGGGCATCACAACAATATCAACAAATGACAACCTGACTACTTGAATAAGACTAACTGAAAGCCTAAATCAATGCAAACTCATAGTAAACATGAAGTAGTAAATGGAACTTCAGTATATAATATACCAAGTAAATTATCCTGTCATAATTCACTTAACAGGTTATATTTCCCTCAAATTCATGTTTCTTTCTGTCAGAAATTCACTAATGTTTCCGTAGACCTGTTGACTTTCAGCCAAGCAGTCATGGCTTCGAACCTCGCCCTCTCTACCTACAGAGGTCTAGGAGACTAGGTAATATCATTATTCGTCAAACGATAAGTGTGGCTTTTTGCATATGGTTGCTGAGTACATTTCGATTCGACTTCGACTACCTTTTGCATAGATTTACAATCTAATATGCTTTTCTTTATTGTTTAAATAAAACTTTAAAGTTCAGAATCAGTTCACCTTCAAAGTATTCTGTTCAAGGGCATATCAATAGTACTACTAAATTAAACATATTTTTGATAAAGAAAGAACTTGGCTGTCGAACATTGCTGTTGATGAATGTTTGTAGTTTGTTGGAAATGCTTTTCGTGACACGCAAAGTTTCTGAACCATATAACAGCACTGAATTACTTGACATTGGTGTTGAAAATCCGGATCTTGTTCACGCTTTATGCTCAGTGCAGTAGATCTCCACATTAATTTCAGATTAGTGAAAGCCTGTCTTGCCTTTCCCATCCTCCTTTTGACATCCTCTTCTGTGCCGCCTCTAGTTGAAACGATACTGACTAGATAGGTGAAAGAGACTACTTCCTTTAGGTTTCTCCCAAACATTCCGTGTTCTCATCCTTACTTTCGCTTTCATCGAGAGAAGACGCATCGGCCGACTGGCTTCCCGAAGGCTTTCACCAACTGGTGTCATTTCGCCTCTCCGATTCCAGTCGAGAATAAGTTTGTTTTCATTTTTTATATTTTCTTTGTGCTTTGAAGTTTCTTTAGCGATTAGATTGGTTTTAGGGGGTAGGGTTGCTAGCCTTATGCCCAACCTTCCCTCTTTACTCGCTTTCAGGACTGACCAGTAACTAGTGAACTAGTTAACCTGGCAAGGCTCCTACATACTTGACGCCACTTATTATCTACGTGATATTAGCTTTGGACCTCAACTTATTTCAAACAATATTTCCATTCAGCGTAAATTGGACTTGGCCGAAGATGATATTTCGTCTGACACTGAAATTATAGCCCAGCAAAGCGTTACAACTAACAGATATTTTCAGTACTAAAGACAGGGAAATATTCCATGGTAATTAATTCCCCTTTTCGTAACTATCCAAACGTTCCATAAAAGACTTTAGGAAGCATAGCATCCCAGTAACCATGTACAGTTTCTTGTGCAACCTCAAGAACCTCACCTATGATGAAAAGCTTAAAGATATCACTTTCATATGCAAAGCTAGGTAGGTGGAGTTGCGTTCAAACTATTGACTCGTTCGCTGGTAGGAAGTCAATTGCTTGAACAAACAAACCAATTGAAAGTTCTCTTTTGTCTTACTTTACTTGTTTTAAACAAGAATTTAACAAAATTTTGGCCAGCACATCACTCCATACTGTTCACGATAGCATTAACTAAAATATATTTATCTCTCTGTTAGTGTAGAGTGGTTACCTACACTACATGTAAGCTTTACCCTAATACTAATAATCAGAAGTCATTCTTTAGTCTCACTTAACTGCACTAGAAATAATCTGCTCTTCAAAGTAAGTTTTGTCTGTTATATGATCCATTTTTTAAAGCTTCAAGGTGGGTCAAGGTCAGTGTAAAATGTGCTCTGTCAGTGATAGTTGAACGGACATACAGATAGATAAACAAATACAAATACAAACTGTAAACTGCCCTGAATTTTGGCATTGTAGGGCAATCGAAATTTCGAAGAACCAATCACAAATACGATGACCTGATTGTTACCAGTGCCGTAGAGTTAGGCGTCGACCCAGTCATGCATATTTTCGCATTTTCGCGTCATAATATCTACTATCCAATGTGATTTCTAGAAAAACTGACCAATCAGCAATCAGATCACATCCTGACTTAAAGCAAAGAGGTGATGCGAGGACATTTCGAAACAGATCTCTCCCCCTTAAGTGTTTGAATCCGACTGAAGCAAATCAAAAGTGGCCTCAACAAATGGCTACGCACACACACACACACAACAAACCTCATTCGTGTCCTGATTATATAAGAAGCACTGTTCAACGTCTGTCCGCTTAGCAATTGGACACTAGCCTATTTTTTTTCTCTTCAAATGACACAATTATCGGCCATGGTTGCAGCTGATATGACATAGTCAGTTATCTAACTCATTCTTATGTAAAAGAAATCAAGAAACATTAGTCGTAGTACTTCATTGCCCTAGTTTAGGGAACGATATAACCGCCGGAACTTCATAGTGAGTGAATGAGGGATGCATCGAAAGAAAATATATGTAGATTGCTGAGATTGACAATCTTCTGAAAAGTATGTTCCTTTTACGGTGAGTTGTCAAGGTTTTTTTATGCGTTTGTTGTAAATAAACAGTCTACCATTTCTCTTTTAATCTAACCATTATTTTATTATCACGTTTCAATTGTGAGTGGCAGAATATATTTATACGTTATTTAGCGGAGAAATATTATTTACGAGTAGTGTCCGAGTTTATGAATCACGTTGCTTACAATATGTACTAGGTGAACTGTAACTGTTGTGTAATTTCATTATGTACAATAGGCTTGAGTTGGCCACGTGGTATTTGACACTTGAGCAGAGTTTCTTTCTAGCTGATTCCCTAAAATCATCAGTGTATTTGCTACACTTTATAATTTAACACAACTCACCAATGCAATACGTGGTAGTGTGCTAAGATGGAGCCATACTGTATCACAGGAAGAAGTTGAAGTGAAGTTCACTTGCGTTTAAAAATCAATGAGTAACACCTTTTTATTACTGTCGAATCATCTACTAATGTTATCTTGACCAAGTTAGGTTATCCAATAGTGAAAATCTACTGAATAATTTAACTGAAAATTTGTAACTGGCATGTGTGTTGGTAAGTTACCACCAGAAAGTAATAGTAGGAGGTACAGAACTATGACTCATCTGTCGATTTTTACAATGTTTCAATCAAATAAATATTTTTGAGATGAATGGGGATTTTTAATTTAGAAGTAGTATTCATCATGGACTGATATCAGTTGAGGAACCATTGAAAATCTGGGAGCACTGGACAACTGTTTCGTCCTAGTATGGGATGCCTTATCAGTATGCAGCCACGACCCAGCTAGGGATCGGACTCAGGACCTTCAGGTTTCACAGCGAACGCGGGTGAGTACTGCCGACGTGTCCCATACCAGGACGAAACAGCTGTCCAGTGCTTCCAGATTTTCAATGGTTCCCCAACTGATATCAGTCCACGATGAATACTACTTCTAAATAAATATTTGTCTCCCTCTGTTGTACGAAAGATGTTTGCCTTGCGATGAAATTCACTAAATTTTATTCAGTTGATTTACATATATAAATAGTCCATAATTAAACTGTAACTTAAGGAATACAGAAATAACAGTGTTCAACTGAGTTTCTTAAAGGTGTAATGAAGAAACAGAATTAACCAAACCAACTTTCATATTGATTATTCACTGAGGGATAACTGATTTCATTATATCTGACCTTAATTACTAACCAGATTTTATTGATCAAGTTTTGCAGAGTAGCTGCCAAGTTCGGAGACTCAGCATTGCGGTACACTTTGGTTTGTGTTAATTAGTTGGTGAAGGAGACCGTCAAGGAGCTATGATATCCGTGCCTAGTTGTGTTTGAATCTATAAGGGAAATCAGTTACCTCAGAGCCGTAAACATACCTTACTGATGAGTACTAACAATCACGAAACCGATTTCACGGTTTCCAGACAAATGACAAACTAGTCAAGATCAACTCATGAATATTTGATTCGCCAATTAGTTCTCGAGAAAATAATCATAATTTTTGAGATCGGTTGATGAATTGACGAAATTTCTACTGAGTTCATTTTTACTTGTCATAGATCGCCTATTTCATCACTGCAAATATATCTCAGTGAGAAAGTTGATCTAGTTAAATTTGTAAGTGAAATAAATGGGGTTATAAAAATACTTTTTTTTAGTGCATTCCCAATGTGTTTAGAAAATCAACAGATTTTTCCGAATGTTTCGCTACGTGAGGCCCTAGTCACTTCAACAGAATTCCCTAGGTTGTATTAGTTACCCAGAAAAATGGACATGTTTAATAGTGGTTGTTAAGACTGAATGTTTTCCAAAATGTAATGTTTTCAGCCAATTTCGTCGGAATGCCTTGAGGATTACCCTGGCAGCCACTGGAATAGCCAATTAGTTTTCTTTTTATTATATTGAGAAGAGAGTTTTATCATGAATGACTAGCCCTCAGTCAATATCCAACATAGGAATAGACATCACTGCATAACGGTTCAAGTTGTCACACCTCATATCAACACATCAAGTGACAAAGCAGTAAGATGAAAGATAAAAAGATAAATTGGTCAGACACAGTAGTAAAAGAAATAGAGGAAGAATGAGAAAATGCTGCATTCAGCATTCAGTATAGTGGTTAGGATGAAGATGAAGTGCAGATACATCTGAACCACTGACATCGACCGAGAGCCATATCACCTAGAGTCTTCTACCACTGGTTTCTCTTGTCACTCAGACGCCAACTGGGTAGTCTACATTACCCTACATGACTTGGACTAACATTCGAAGAATTCAGGGTCTGACACCATGCTTTGATCCGACTGTCCTTAGCTTTTTTTCAACCTGAACCTACTTCAGCTAACACTATGTGATGAAGTAAACGTTTGCGACTAGGCATGGATAACACATTTCCTAGCCACATGGGTCACTGAAGGTTCATGACCTCGTCAACTGAATTTCCTCTTCTCCCTAAACTTGCACACCCTACCTCTGCTGTAATTGGGCGGTGATGCAAGAACACATGACCGATATCACGAAGAAAACCATGGCAATCAAACACTTGAAGCCTTCTTAAAGCCCCAACCTTAATGACTGTGTTTCACGGTCAGATAATAGAAGTGAGTGAACTGCATCGCAGTATACTCATCCTTTTATAGTCACGGTTGCGCTATAAATGGCATAAGTTGGCGAAAGGCAATTGAGCTTTTTGTATCTGTGCATAGATTTCGTCGGCCATTGAGCCATCAGGGCTGATTCTTCCTCCTAGGTAAGGCAAGTGTTCAGTGCACTCAACCACTTCACTCTCTATTGTTAACCATGGCATAGCTGAAGATCAGTCCTGGAGCAACCATTTGTATATTTTTAGTCATGTTTACGTCCGTACCGAATTTATTTCTGGATAGCTTGTATATATATGTTGGCTACTTCTGTTTTTTGATAAGTGTTTTACATTAAACTATGACCTGCAACCAACACTGTGTTGATTAACACTTAACGCAAACAGGCTAGAAGGTGTGTTTAACTAATGTTTGTATTAGAGTGATTAGATTTTTAATAGAGGTCAAAGCAGTCAAAAGAGAGTATGTACCATCCTGTTTATCATGTGGAGGATGTCGCAAGTCTCATCAATAATTAAAAAAATCACCACTTCTGCTAGTTTTCTATAGCGAAAAAGCATGGATCAGTTGGTAAGCAGTGACGAACGTTATGATCTGACTGTGAAAAGTAATTTACTAACATCATCAATTTGAGATCAGCCCCTCCGACCGGAGTTATAAAGCGACATGTTCTTCAACATTGATGATGAACAGCTATGGACGATGTAATTATTTGAATAACAGAGGATGTCTTCTGTAATAAGCACAAGCTAACAACCAACAGTTAAACAAACAAAATCAGCCTAGAATCTCGTACACGAGTCCATCAGTTCAACTTACCGTACATCATAGTAGTATACAAAGAACAAGTGGATAGTAGACGAATGTGTATGAGGAAAAAGGTAATTTAGAAATTAAGGTTAGTCAAAACACTCAAGCTATGGGAGATGTGAGAGGGTGAATGCCTCAGCTCTTTTGTAACCGATTTTCAGTCATTTCACCAAGAATCTTCAACCACTAGATCCTGTCCTGTCTGGGACTTCAGGCAAGTAGTTTACAAGTAGTGAACAGTTAAGGCTGTATTTGTTGTTATTTCTTCTGATTGTGGTCGACCAGACTGGACTGGATCATGCAACAGACAGTTGTGAGGAGCAAGAAGATGGACGGACATAAGCTGGCCGGACCGATGAAAAGACCCTAGAACCCTGGATTTCGCCGCCGATGATTTATTTCTAATGTCCTGTTGCACAAACTACAGACATGCGTCAACAACAGCTGCCACCTACGAACCGACCAATTACCCATCGCCCAACAGATATGCAGAATAAGAAAAAGGAGATGGACTGGATTGGAAATACACTGAGAAGACTGTTTGGGATTATCACGTGCCAGGCCAGGCCAGGCCATCGAGTGGAACCCGTATGCGAAACGATGAGTTAGGCATCTGAGTCGAGGATGACATGGAGGAGATGGTGTAAGGAAGAGACAAATAATAATCATTATTATCATTATTAATGATAAGTTGATATGTGTTGATTTTGCCAGGAATTTTCATTTTGCCTAGCATTATTTATTTGTTTACAGTAAGTTGACTAGAAATTTCTACAATGTAGCGTGATGATTAAACACAAGCGTGTTTAGTTATTATGCACTCCAGAATAAAGTGTAATTACATTTTGGTGGATCAAAGTCTATGCACAGGGTTTATTTTGAAGTTCTTTGCTCATAGTATTGTTATTATTTTTTTTGTCAAGATGCACTATTGAGATGATTAGTGTACTATTTTAATTGCTAACAGTTATTGATTTGTATTAGTTGGTGTACCATCTGATTAATTGAAGGTCTAATACCTCGATATCCAAATTCTTGGTTACCCTTAAAAGTAACACTGGTAGACAAGGTTGGTAGGTATTTTTTTGGTTGATCAACTTTGTAAATAAAACTATGTAGATTTCAATAAGATCATACTGTTTTACTGATGAGATAGATGACAAGAGAAAAGATTCACGCCCTTTGAATATTGTGCAACCATATTGGTGAATAATGTCAGAAAAATAACTTCTCATAAGTAGAGTTAATCCAATCATAATAATCACAGGTTATCAACTTTTCATGACATTAAGACATAAGAGACGTTTTTTAAGCTAGGAATTGGCTCAGGTTAAATGAGTCTTAATGGGCAAACCATCACTCACTGGGAAGTAGGTACATTCCACTGATGAGTCCTAAATAGGACGAAACACGCGTACTGCATTCCACTGCTAGACATTAATATCATTAATGGCATTAATATCAGATTTGAAAATAATGGCGATATCGAGGCCTCCTCCCAGCAGTGCATATACCGATAGTGGCCGATCATTTCAGCTCAATCATCGACGGAGACGCACATGCTATAGTTTCATCGCCCAGTTTCTATCTTACTTGAGATGTT